GAAGAAAGAAAGAAAGAAAGAAAGAAAGAAAGAAAGAAAGAAAGAAAGAAAGAAAGAAAGAAAGAAAGAAAGAAAGAAAGAAAGAAAGAAAGAAAGAAAGAAAGAAAGAAAGAAAGAACTTGCCAGAGGATAAAACCATTTTTCTCAAATAAGAATTTCCATCCCTCATAGGGAATGTGAGCTCTGCATGACGTAAGGCTCCTGACAAACCTTCACTGCCTTGCATAAGTGTGGAGCAATCATGCACTTGTCTGGTGTTGAGCCAGCCCTGTCATTCCTCTCATGTTGCTGTCAATATCCACTATTTAAGACATGGGGGGGGAGAATCTCCTCGTGCTACTTGTCCCACATTCCTGATCAGCCTCCATGCTTTTCACACCAGGGCTCTACTTACAGAAATGAGGACCAAGAGGGGGCAAGGTTAATGTGTTCCCCCTGCTCACCCATTTACTATATCCCCATTTCAGGTCACCTGCAACAGGGATCATGTTAGCCTGACCAGTGACTGTGCAGAGCCTCTTGTTTTATTTCCATGACTCTTCTCACTTTCACTTTCCTACAGAGCAGCCAGAAATATCTGCAGACATCTGAGCAATAGCTCGCATCCCCACAGAGATCTGAACTGTGGTTCACTATCAAGCGAAGAGCTGCTTTCAGACAGACAAAAGGCAATACTGCGTAGAAAATGTTTTGATGGAAGAGGTTCTTCCATTGCAGTGAGACAGATGTGTTTCAGACCTGGGTCAGCCAGTATCGATCTTCTGCGTGAAGAATCCTTGAGAAGCTTCTGAGGAATTGTAGGTTCCCAGTTTGAAAATCAATGTTCTAAATAACAGCTCGTTGTTACTTTGGGCATGTCCTCCCTGAAGCCATCTCTCAGTTAGGACCTCTGAGCCTGGAATTCCCAATGCTACTCCTAGCACGAAAAGTAACTTCTGCAGGGCCTGGGGAATGTCTGCCACTGCCACCACTGCATCCCCTTGTCCTGGCCTCATGACTTCAGTCCTGCTTGTGAACACTTGGAACAAAGATGCTGACTTCTACATGTTTGTGAGACCCTTAGACAACACCCTTTTAACTTATCCATGCCAATGATATGCTTTTCCAAACATCCCTCTACAAACCAAGTCCTGGAAGAGGAGACAAGAATCCTCCCGTACCAGAAGCTAAAGCATCAGAGCCTTTCTAGAATGTAGCCTGGAGAAATGCAGATCTCACACAAACCAAAGGATTATTCGTTTTTTCTACTATCATATTGGGCACAGATGTCTGTCAAACAGAATATCTTGTCCTCACAGAGGAAACTGATGCCCACATTTATTTATTATGCTTTCTTTCTATTGGTCTTATTGTTGGCCACCAAGAGAATGTAGGCGAATACTGGCTGAAGAGCTATGACTAGTGTCTGTGCTACCTGCAGGAATGAGAGCACATCCACAGAATAGCAAGATGTTATCTCCCCATATCACAGCAGGACTACGAAGCAGAATCTATAAGCACACCTAATCTGTTTTCTTCCTAACATCTCATCTTTGGAAGAATTTGCATAGAGATAACAAGTTTGCAAATCTTGCTGGATTGAAGGTGGCTCAATAAAAGGGAATTGTTATCTATAGATGATGTTCTTTAAAACGCGCACGCAAACACACACAAACTCCAAGAGATGTGGAAACTATACCAGGTGACAATCTGCCATAGTAGCCTATTTTTTCTGTGACCAGCATTGCCACTTACTTTTGAGGTCTAGATTTCTTGCTCCTGCCGTGCTCTGCGTTGTGATTTTTGTGTCTATCTTCACTGTGTGGAGGTTGTTGGTGTCCCGTGAGATCATCACGTTGTGCCACTGGTTGTCATTCAGAGGTTTGTTGGAACTTCCCTTAATAAGATTTGCACCATTTCCCAGATCAAACACATAGTGCAAATACCTGAAAATGGGAAACATAAATAGTTAAGCTGGTTGTACCACGGCCACCATCTTCATGAGTAAGCAGATGAAACAGACTGCTCTTTATCTCTATTGTGTTTTGCTTTATTTACACTGTTTAAACTTACAGGAAGTCTTCAGTGAAATGAAGACTGCCAAGACATTTTGGAAGAGACGAGAGAGAAAGTAGGGTATTGTACACCTCTAGGTCTGATGTCAGTACCCAACACATTCTAGTGACTTTTGTGGCTACACAGCCTAAGCACAGTTCACAAGCAATGACAACCTGAATTGTGCTTCTGGCTGCTAGATATACCTGAGAGTGATGGTTTTAACCAACCATTAAGGAACTGAAATGGCTGCTTCCGCTACTATGCCAGCACCTGGGAAACCAATGGCAGAGAAGTAACTCATCAAGAGCCATCTAACAAAATGTCCTCTCCAACCTGAACTATTGCTGTAATGAGGTGAGTTCCTCTCCTTTTGTTCTGCAGTTTTCAAAAATACTTCCGAAGGAAACCCCAGTTCAGCTGAAAAATACACCCCTTTTTGACTTTATACATATTGTTTAAAAAGCCCCTTTAAAGAAAAAATAAATAACCCACAAAGTCTTGTGCAGCTCTTGAACCTCTAGAAATTGTCATCCCCAAGGTTAAACAAGTACTTTCTTATCATTATAGTTATTGTTTTTGTAAAAGTCATTCTTTACTTTCCTTTTTATCTGAAGTAACTAGAACTTAGTTTTAGTGACATTTTTTAAAAAAAACTCTAAATGCTAGAAGCCATGATGCAATGGTTCTTAAAAATGTTTATCTTCTTCCATCTTTCCCATTATTATCTCAACAACCAGAACAGAACACATGGCATCAGCAGAAGCCAGCACCTAAACTGTGTGATATTCACCTTCCACCATTATCTAAAGTCACACTACTAAACATTAGAACTATATTACAAAAGGAGTGCAGTTATTCCTCGTTAAGTTGCAATAGCAATTTAGCATAGACACACCTTTAGTTATTGGGGAAAGAAATGAATTAGGAATTTATTTATTTATTTATTTAATCAATTTAGCATAGACACACCTTTAGTTATGGGGGGAAAGAAATGAATTAGGAATAACTACTTTATTTATTTATTTATTTATTTATACCCCACCCCTCTAGACTATGTCTACTAAATTGCAACTAATTTCTTCCACACTCTGCATTTAACTTCCATGACTAATGCCATCTCTAGCATTTCCCCATAGCTTATATACACACCCTTTCACTAACTCAACCACGATAAAGTCATTCCCATCCCCGCTGTTGTAGAGTATTAACCCATCCAGCGATGTTGTTTTGAACTGGAAAAAGAGGTGCATAGAGGTGTATGCTTGCAGCGTCGCCAGGGCAACATAGCTGGCTTTCGTCTTAAACGTGACTGGATCAGCGATGATGTTCCTGAAGCCAAACCGGGCATTGAGCTCGCAGTAATCAATGTCCCCATTTTTACACAAGTCAATGTATGCCATGCCATTAAAAGTGAGGCTTTGCAGATGACCAATAAAGTTGGAAGGGACGGAAGACAAATAACGCCGCTCGGTTATGATTCCCGTCTCTATGTTATGGAATTCCAGTCTTGTGTGATCCCCAGCCATTTGACCTTCAAATGAAAATGGATTTGGAGATGTTAGTGTCACAATCCACAACATGAGTGGTCATTCAGAGGTTCAGTTCCTAAGACCTCAGGCACAAAATCCAACCGTTTGACTCAATCACTTTTAATTTCAGATGCAATCCTAACTAGCTAAGATGGTTGAGGGCTAGCTACAGTGAAGGTAGACAGCTGCAAAGGTGCGTGCTGGATCACATCAGAAAGGGTAACATTAACAGGAGTGATCTCCCTTAAAGCACCCTTCCTTCTGCCAGGGAATCACTTCAACCTAGCCCCCCAAAAGCAGCTGCAATTTGCACCATTGCAATTATGCCAGCATATGTAAGCAAGCATTCTGGCCACTATGTGCAAGCTGGACATATCAACCATCTTTGTACAAACATGTACAATACATCTGTGTTGAGTGTAACGTGCAAACACCCCTCTAGCAGTTAACTACAGTAGAGAAAAAAGTGGGCTGGGGATCATTCCATGAACTCTTGCATAATCCATGTTTTAAGCTGGAGAGGTTTTCCCATGAATGTTTGATTCAACTGTAATTCTTATATAGCCTTCTGAGTAATTTTTTTTCATTCATTATTTCAGTCCTGTGTGTGAACTTCAGCCATACCTCATATCTACAGGTCTTGGCCAAACTATAGTTTCTCTGCTGGTTCGCCCCTACACACACCCGCTCTGTACTCAAAGTGCCTGCTTCTCCTCTTCTTCTCCTTTCCTTCCACTGTCTGAACGTTCACTCTTTCCTAACAAATCATTCCCTTGCACTCTGCTTTTTCTTGCTTCACACTTCCTTGGATATTTGTACTTTTAACTATGAACATCTTTAGCAGCAAGAAGTGATTCTTCAAATTAAAAACTCACACGATCCAATGTTTTTTAGGCTCAGTGCTGCTCAGCCACCAGCTGCCTAAGGACTCTTTCAAGTTCTTGAGCCTCTCTGTGGCAGGTTAACAGAAGAACTAGCCACAGACATGGCTTTCACAACCACCAACACTACCGCCTTCAAATGCAAAGAAAGGGAGACAACTAGAAAAAAATGAATGATAATTATTCATTGTTACCTGTCATGGCTTGTTGGTCATCCACCATTAACTTTAAGCTTTTCCCTCTCCGAACCACACGTACTGTGTGCCATTCATTGTCATTGAGGTTATAGCCAGCAAAAAGGGTCTCTGGACCTTTGCCTGTAGGGTATGCCAAACAGTTATTATGGAATCTTTAAATCAGTCTACACGTGAACCGCACAGAGAGAAAGAAAGAGAGAGGGAGAAAAAGCGAAAGCTAGACAAAGAAATACAGAGGAAAAAAGAGAGAGAGAACTTGGCTGAAACAAACATTTTATATGAAACAGATTCAAAAGATAACAACTGGTAGAATACCAAAGGATATGAAGACTTTAAAGGACATGCATGTTATCTAACAATATTTGTAGATTGCATTATTAAAAATTGCTACGTTGGTGAACTGATTTTTCATGAATCGGCACAGTCAATACAAAGACAGGTGTTATCTATATCAGCTGTTTCTGGAGGATGCACCTCTTTAGTAAAGGTGCAAATAAAATACTGATCGGATTTAAAATTATTTTAGGTCTAAAAATAGATTTCCCCCCCTCCCTAAAGTGTTTTCAAGGAGACATATACCTTCAGTAATTATATCGGCCCAAATCCTCCTATGCCAGCATGGAGTAAATGACATCTATGTGACTTCTTAATTTGCCTCCTAAAGTTGCATTGTTAGGATTATGTTGGCGTAAATATGCTAGAAGATCGTTGTCACTCTATTAATAATGTCCTTCACTGAACTTGGTAGCAGTGATTTATAGAATGGAATAGAAACTCAAATATGAAAAAGTCATAGGGAACTTGAGTCTTGAATTTGTCAGCAGATGTTTTGATCAACCTAACTTTGATTCCCAAAGAAGGAGTATAATTTTTCTCTCCATGCATAGATGCCATGGTGTTGAAGTACTTGGGAAAAAGAAGAGTGTCAGGGAGCATCAATTCTAAGGCCTTCCTCTCCTTTCACTGTGTACATACCACTCCAGGCCTTGTGTACACACAACATACTAAATACAAACAAAAAAGCAAATAAGCAAACAAAAAAAAAAGTCCCACACATACCACTAGATAGAACAATTTACCCCTTTGTCTATTGGCTTGTAGACCAAATTACTGTAATGTCTCTGGCTGGGACTGGACACCTGAAACCTGGGGCAAGCAATTTAGATGTAAGCATGGAGGAAAGAGAACCAGGTGGCTAATCTTACTTCTCTTTGCTCCTAAACAACAGAAGCATATGTGCTTTGAGGGGTGGACCACTCAATCTACTAACAGCAAGTGGTAAAAAGAAAAACAACAGCAATGTGAAAAGACGGAGTGACAGTGCTCCTGCAATAATGAAGCAGTCACCATAGGAAGGCAGTGAATGGAGGAAGCAGCAGTGGCAGCTCTCTTGCCTCCTCTGTCTGCTGGAAATATTTGCTGTGTGGTCCAGACAATCTGCCTCACACCCTCCATACTAGTCTGTTGCCAATCTGCCCCACACCCATGTTAACTGACTTCAGGTGACCTGGAGGCCAGCACCACTATTCAAGACAGAGTCAACTATCACTCCAGTTGGCTTGCATAAGTCAAATGTGGGTTACCAGTTTACCATTGATGTTTATGCAGCAAAATATCTCCTGGGGTGAGGAAAGGGGAGGCTCTTTGGTACCTCCTCTTTGCCTTCTTCCTACCCAAGTGGGTGAGGACATGGACAATAGGACTGGAATCAATGTCCCTAGACAAAGGAATAATCACTTGCAACTTATTCAACCAAGATCTAATTGTAAATATTACTGGGTTCTCCAAAACACAATAGGGTATCCAGAGAAATCATTCACACTGAATTTCCCCAATTGCAGACAAGAGCTCTGAGCAACTTGACTGCTCAGAATCTACTTAACTGATCAACATATACTCATTTGGGAATTCGTAACTCTCCTTAACTGCACTAATGTTTAGAATGAAGTCAAAGCCAATTCAAATGCTTTGCAAAGGCTTTCAGAAATTGGTTCAACTGTTTACTCCTAATGAAAGAGATTTGATGGGGAGTCCAGTAACTGAGCACTGAAACAATATCTTGTTGCACTACACTTCCTTTAATTCCCCAAGTAATTTTTCTCTGTTCTCCCCATTAGCCAAGCAATGGCTAGGCCAGTGTCAGGAAGTCTGACACTGTATATATCCCCTATTCCGTTCTATGAATCTTCTCAAAAACTCCTCTCTCTGCTGTCTGCACGCATTGTCCATGTGAATGGGTATGTTGATTAGTGTACATTTATCCACACCCTCAATTTTACATATCTTATATCTTCTCTTTATAGGGAACAGCAAAGCACATTCTGTCTTTATTTCAGAAGAAAGAAAGAAAAAAAAAAGATCAAGCATAGTTTTTCAATTTTTCTTAAAATTCAGTATGATTAACTCACTGGTTTTCTTAAAATAACAGTTCAGTAGCAATGATCTGTTATTAGCTTTATTGTGGTTTTCTGGCAATGCATAATCTGGATTAATGACCTAGTTATATTGGACTCACTGCAGTAATTGTAGGCTTGCCTAGATAAATAAGGGAATTTTGCACCTGCCTGACATATCTTGTGTAGGTTTCTAAAATATTTATTCAAATGGAATAACCTGCGCCTAGAAAAACAATATAGAATTGCTAAATAGTCTCCCTAAATAGTAAGACACAGTTGCAGTAGGACCATTTGAATCTTGCATCACTGCTCGCTGAACTTACTCTGGAGTTGCCCCCCTAAATCCCCAATGCTTCAGTGAGCCTACTGTAGTATCATTTACTACTCTAAGCAACAGGATTATGGCCATTGTTTCCAAATATTACTCTGGATTTAAAGGGGAAGAAGAAAAAGGTCTACCACAAAAATGGTGAAGAATATTCAGAGAAAATTCTTAAAAGCAGCTTTTTTCTAGGAGATAAAAGCAATTCTCATTTTCTGGGGGGTGGTGGTGGTGGTAAAGGCTGCACAGTTCTTTTTTAAAAAAACAAACAAACAAACCAGAAATGCAGAAATTGCTGGCTGAAGTAAAAACTTCTTAATTTTGAAGAGGCCTGTTAAACAATGATCTTTGTAAAGGATGTGTGACCTGGAACTCCTTTTGCAAAATTATGATACTTCCATTTTACATGTATATGGCTTGTCTCAACAGACGCCTCCCAACACCTTCCAACAACATTCATGCAGGTTGAGGGAAGAGGTGTCACCTCGTTATACTTGAAGTCATCCCTCTCAGTCTCCAAAATATAGCTGCTCCCTGGACAGCTATAGGGGCAATGCCTCACTTAGGGTGTCATTGAGGCCTGGACATTATAGGAATGGTGGCCACAGTGATTTTTTTGACGACTGCCCTCACAATGCCTGAAGGAGACATAAAGCCAGGCATTATCCCCAGGCCAGCCCAAGTAGCAAGACGTTTTGGAGGCTGGCAGGTGGCAATTTGGACAAAGCCCAACGACTCATGAAATGGATGGCCACGTGTGCAGAATACTCAAACAGGTCCCTGGCCAATGAGGCTGTGGCGCATGCTGGATAACATGTCAGAGCATCATGGGGCTATTAAAATAAACAGAGCACATGCCACTGAGCTTCTGTATGATGTGGGGTGCATCCTTAACAATGAATTCCCTCAGGACACTAATGTTAAAAGAAAGTATTTGTGAATACAATAATATTCCATAGAGTAAAATATACTGCTTTCTTCTTATACTATACAGCTTCTTTTTATGCCAAGAAAAAATGGCTGACATTTGCTCTTTATAAATTGATTCTAGCTGCTCCTTAGAATCCACCAACCTCATGTACTGGAAAAACTACATAGGTTTTTCAATTAATACATTCTGCATAGATTCAATATCATCCAGAATGAATCATGGCTTTAAAATAGCAATTGCCACATTATAGGTTAGAAGCATATATTTTACTCTGTGCTTCTGTGTGCCTAAACTATAATGGAGCATTACTCACACATGTACGTATTAAGATGCACAAACACACAGCAATACTTCTCCATGGATGCCACCATATTTTGGCAGATAATGTCAAACCAGCAAATATTTTAGTAAACAACTACAGTATAGTAAATATTCTCCCTAGATAGTTCAGTACCCAAATTTTACTGTAGTTGTATTATCTATGCCCATGGCCCATTATACATCCACAGTCCTACCTGTCAAGGATGTACTGATGCACCAACATTCCAGGCAACTTGAAAGGGGATTGGGCAAAACCAAGAAGTGTAAATCTGTCCTAATAGTCTTGTTTGGCATCTACGGGTCATGACATGGCCAGGAAGGTGTTGTTGATCTCTTATCCTCCAAGCAGATAGATTTTATAGGCATCTGGTTAGTTACTCTCATAAGCCATGGAAGGCCCCCACTGTATCCTGCTTGATCTTGTAATGTGACCATGGCCATAGGTTAACACAGTTTCTCCCTAGACCATATCTTTCTAACTTCAGAATTATGTGGCTGAAAGCTTATTTTCAAATGACATGGAAAAGTAATTATGGGCATGGCCCACCTCCATCATTTTTATTCCCATTCTTCCTTATATCCAAATATACTTCAAAAAGTATTTGAACTATAAAAAGTTCACATTAGTATAATTAAATTTCTGACGAAAGTGACCAAAAATACTACATTTTTGTATGAGGTTGGTAAAGTAAATAAGGAAATAAGTTGGTGGGAAATTATTCCCCAGGAAAGGTTGGTGCCCCCAGGGAAGTACATTTTAGTCAGCTGGTATGTGTAAATAGTAGGATTGTGGCCATCACAGCTAAACTACATACTTCATTTACTTTTATAATGGACATATATTTCAGTTCTTCTTTTTCTCTGTCTAACAACTATGCCATTAAAAAAAATCACATTGCTTTTCAATGCTAAGGATGGCATGATATGGAGCTTACTCATTCCAAATGAAGGCTTCATACTATTATGGGAGGATATGCAAGAATAGGTACTTATGGAACTTCAAAATGAGCACTTCCTTTGAAAGTATAATCTACAGACTATCTAATTAAATCCAACATCACAGCAAAGAATGAAAACAATGGGGATAATTCATGATCCTTATCTAGAACAATGGCTTGTTTCTGCATAGAAACTTTGCCTTCATACACTAT